CTGCTGGGTTGGTCCAGTAGCGCCCAGAGCGGCGCTGCGGGACCAACCGGCAGCGCCCCAGCTGCTCTACCACAGGTGTCCAGAGAAAAGCCTAGTCTGCTGGGGGGAGGGGCGTACTAGCTGCCCCCCCCCCACCCCAGCAGACCAGGAAGACGCAGGCGGCGGACCGAGACGCACCGCGGTCCCGCCGCCCGGGTCCTCCGCGGCTTTGCTCCCAGTCTCCCTGGTCAGCGGGACAGCCGCAAAGCCGCGGGGGAAGCCGGCAGGGGGGCAGCCCAGGCGCGCCTGGGCTGCTCCGCTGCCAGAACCCCTCCGTGGCTTTGCTCCGCATCTTCCTGGGCTTTATTTGCATGTTCCCGGGCGCCGCCATTTTTTAAATGCCCTGTAGTTCTAACTACCTGCCCGCGGCTACACGCGGCATGGGCTAGGTAGTTCGAATTAAAGCTCCTAATTAAATCCCGGGCTTCATTTGCAAGTTCGAATGCCTACATTAGCCACCCTAGTTCGAACTAGGGTGGCAGTGTAAACATACCCTCACTTTACTTTAAGTGTTATCAGCGTGGAAGCCTATCCCCTGGATTGGTGGCCAAAGAATGAAGCCGCATATAAATGTTTAGTGTAGCTGGCACACAAACACTCTGCTTTCAGGAGACCTTGTAAATAGGAAGTGTGCAGCATTATCTCTTATAAATATAAACAACCTTTTGTTTGTTAGCAATTGGCTAAACAAGAAGTGACACTTATAGGCTCTAAAGTTTTACATTGTTTTCCTCTGGAGTGCAGTTATGTAACAAAAAAAAAATCTACACTGCACTTTCACAATAAAGAGATTGCACTGTAGTATTTATATGAGGTGAACTGAAAAACATTATTTCTTTGTATTGTTTTTACAGTGCAAATGTTGGAATTTATTATAAAATGAACACTTTTGTATTCTGTGTTGTAATTAAAATGTATTTGAAAATGTAGAAAAACATTCATACATTTAATACGTTTTAATTGCTATTCTACTGTTTAATTGCAGTTTTAATCACACTGTTAATCACAATATTTTTTTAATCGCATGAGTTAACTTTGATTAATCAACACCTTTTATAGTTAACAAACTTGTTTTATGTCTTTATCTAAACAAGTGTACCTTGGTGAAGTGTGGAGGGGGGGAATCTCAGCTTGTTTAACCCAAGCTTTTTGTGCATATTCTTCTCCATATTCAGGGAAAGGTAAACTGAGTAATAAATTCATACTGGTTGGAGGTTTGACCAGTAATAGTCGATAGTACAGCCAGGATAACCCCAGCTTCCTAGCTGAAGACCCCCCAGAGCAGCACATAAGAACAGCCATACTAGATAAAAAGGTCTATCTAGTCCAGTATCCTGTCTTCTGACAGTGGCCAGTATCTGGTGCTCCAGAGGGAATGAACAGAACAGGTTGGAGACTCATTCCCATCTTCTGGCAAACAGAAGATAGGGACACCATCCCTGTCCATCCCAGCTAATAGCTGTTGATGGACCTATCCTCTATAAATATATCTAGCTCTTTTTGTACCCTGTTATAGTTTTGACCTTCAAGACATCATCTGGTAACTTAAAAAAAAAGTTGTTTAACAAAATTAGGTTTTATACAAACAACCTGATATTTGGGGTTTTCCCTCCTTCCTTCTAGAATGATGTGGTGAAAGCCCAGTCTTTATATTCTCAGATCATGAACAGAGAGAACAGACTGTGCTGTAATCTTAATGTAAGTGTGCTTATTTTGTATGTTCACATAGGCTTGTACAGAGAAATTCAAAGAGTTACATATGTGTTTTGACCTTGATTTTTTTCTACTGTCTTGCACCCAGTGTAATCATAGAAGCTTAAGACTGAAAGGGGCCTCAGAGGTCATCCAGGACGAGACTTAGTCCCCTGCAATCACGGCAGGACTAGTAATAACTATTGATGTTTAAGTATGATAGCACTCTTACTACTTTAGCTGAAAGAGCCCAGAGAAATCTTGCATATGGATTTTGAAATGGAGGCGGGGGATGGGTGATTTTGAGGTTCTGGATAGATCACATGTACTTATGCAAAATGTGCCCAGTCTTGATGTAAAATGCCACCCCTCTGATTTGGTTTTTATTATTTCTTTACTATTTGTAATATTGTAGCACATGGATAAGTATAAGTCTACACAGCAGAACTTACAGCTTTGGTGCATGTGCGTGCTTTTAGTACTTAGAGTGGATGTGCTCTAAGCAGATGGGAGTGAGTTTAATAACTTCTGCATCTGAGAGAGGGGATAGCTATGTTGTTGGGAGAAGTTCTTCTGACCTAGGGCTGTCTACACTGGTGGTTAGGTCGGTAGAACATACATTGCTCGGAGATGTGGATTATTCACACCCCTTAGTGACATACATACATTTTACTTCAGTATAAGAGTAGGCTAGGGCTGTGAATGGTTAACTGGGTGATGCTTACCGGTTGTGGTTAACTAGCAGGGGCTGCAGCAGTAATAACTCAGTAAAATCAAAACCAGTTTCCCTCAGAACAACAAACACACACAGCTGTCTCTGAAGACCACTGTCTCTGATTCACCTTGAAGGGCCCAATTATTACAGTGTAAAGGCTGGTTTGGTTTCTATTTAAGTCCTCCCCTATGAAAGATAGATTTTATTCAAGATCAACAGAACACTTAAAAAATTAAAATTTGTACAGTTGGCTTGTATTTTGTTCTATCAGTCTTGACGTTATTCTCCTTGTAACACATTAAAAGCAAGCGTTTTGGTTGTTGTATATCTTTTTTTCCCCTCTTTAAAAAGATTCTTATACAAGCCAAGTCTGGGGCACTAGAAGATCTTCTGCAGACATTGGAAGCAGCACTGGATATGGGTAATTCCCGCTTAGTGAAAAGAACTGAGTTTTCTGAGCAGGTGGTGAGTTATGAGTCCTTCATAATTGGTTAAATTAGTTAAAAATTATGTAATCATTAACACCGAGAATGAGACCTGTTGGGTGATTCAGCCAGTCCATTCCTTTCCCCTGCCATTCCAGGTTTTCTCTTCTTCTAGTAAGTTTTCTAGAGCTTTGGCTTATTTAAGTTATTTTGAATGGAATGCGGAAATAGAACAACTTAAGTGAAAGAACAAAGATTACCAAAAAAGTAATTATCATCAATGCTGTTCATTTATCTATTTTATCATCCCTTCTCTATTATCATTTATTGTATTTAATTTTCTAGATAGCATGAGGTACCAGATAAATGAACAAACTTGATAATTACTTTTGCAGTAGCACCTAAAACCAGGACTTAGATGCTTAAGTACTTTTGCTTAAGTCTTGTTTAATGTCAGTAAAATTAAAGTTCTAAGTTGTGTAAGTGCTTTTTAAAATGGTACACCCTACCTTAACTTTCATATCATTGGGATGTTGTGAGGTTTATTGATGTTTGTCAGGTATTTTGAGATTTCCTACAGAAAAAGTGTTAATTAATCAGTAGGTAAAATACATTATAGGAAAACACTGATTTAGTTGGGTTTGGCAGCACAGCTTTTCCTTTTTCTGAATGTTTAGCAGCATGTTGAACTTCTTCATTCTGAACTGGTCTACTGACTGAGACAGTGTAAGAAGATGTAAATACCCACTTAAACACTTATCTGTAGGATTATTAATGGGGTGGTGGAGAAAGAGTAGGTGTCAAACAGAGTTGTTAGTTGGTAGAAAGATAATTGTACAGTCTGTCTACATTACGGGTATATTTTAAACTACATTACTACAAACAATAAGATACAAAAAATAGGATTTTTAAAAAGCAGCCTCCTGTAATTTACTTGTTTTCATGATCAAAACTGAACCCCATATTTCCCCCCTCCATATTCTTTATAGCAGGGGTGGGCAATAATTTTTTGCTGAGGGCTACTTCAAAAATGTCTGAAGTGGCTCAGGGCCACTCCGGAAGAGGAAGGACCTTGAGCAGAAGGGGCTGGGCCAGGATATTTCTGGGTTTCCCACCCCCAGACCATAACTGGTCTGGGGGTAGGGGAGTGCCTTTTCCCTCTCGCCCCCTGCCTTCCTCCTACGTGTCCATGCCCCTGGCTGGAGGAGACATCCCACACTCCCTCTCCCCCAGGCCAATCAGGGCCTGGGGACAGGGGACCATGCAAAGTCTTCTCCCATCCTGCCAGGAGCGTGGCACTTCTAAGTTCCCCATGCTCCTCACAGGGCTGGACCAGAGCGGAGGAAACTTTGTGCGCTCCTCTGCCCCCAGGCTCTGATTAGCCTGGGGGTGAAGGAGCACACGAAGTCTCCTGCAGCCCCGTCAGGAGTGCCTGGGACTTCCAAGCACCACATGCTCCTGAAAAGGGGGAGGAAACTTTGTGCACTCCCCCCCGCCTCCAGGTCCTAATTGGCTTGGGGGTGGGAGAGCGGCAGGGCCTCTGCGGTCTGGATCCACCCACTTGGCGGGCTGGATCTGGCTAGCAGAGGCCCTTTTGCCCACCCCTGCTTTACAGGGTTACAAATGTTTTATATTTAAATAAATATTTATAAATTTGTTAAAGACCAAACACATATTTTACCCCCTTGCTTCTGCAGAGTGCATTATTCATCAAATCCATATAAGACAGATTTGCTTGTGAGTTCATCTCTATTTACAGATTTCATGGTGCACAGAACTTTTCAACATTATAGAGGCCTGATTGCACTTTACGTGTAACATGCTAGATTACTTTCATTGAATTTATAGTTCTATGAGCTGGGAAACAGATTCCAGAAAACAATTATATCATTTGGGTTTAAAGAAGAAATAATTGTGTTCCTACAGTCTGTACTAAAACAGAAGCTTTTCAGATACTTTACAGAAGCTTTTAATCTAATAAACTCTCTTCAATTGGTATGCAATCCATGTTCAGTGGCATGTTGCATTGTAACGTGCTGTTTAACAATCTCTTCTTGCAGATGGTTATGCTAAACTTGCATCTCACCCTTAGCACATTTTTTTTTTTAATGGAATGGTTGTTTGTGTTGTCTGGAAGGCAATGATTGAATGAGATTTGTATTTGCTGGACTGTTATAGTGTGCCATTATCTCTTCTTTAAAGCTGGCTACAGTCAGGCAAGAGTTGGAGGAAAACTCTGTTTTTCGTGCCAGATTAGAAGATATCTGTGCCAAGCTGCAAGCATCAGGACAGGTAACCAAGCTGACTCTGGATGACATGCTGTGCCAGACTCCTTATCAGAAGAAGCACCATATACAGTTATTAAAGCAAAAGCAAGTGAGCCATCGGACTTTCAGACCACTTCAATCGGCTCTGCTTTCTGAGTAGTTCTATATTTGACTACAAATTGTACTCACAACAGTACCACTTTTAAAAATATGTGAATAAAGCATCTCATCTTCCTCTCTCCTGCAGACAGATGTTTTAAGTCATTTGTCTGAAACTTAAAAAAAAAAATCATGGGTTTTCTTTGTTGAATTCTGATGCTCAAAATAAAATATGAATTTGGGAACTTGCACAATGAAAAATGGAATAATCTGACAGTATTTGAAGTTTCCCTCTTTGGCACTGAAGTCAGGTTTTGCTTACGCTAAAAGCTTTTATATGAAACAAAAAGCACCATGTAGTCCTGACCTGATTCCTGTGGGTTACAAGAGGGTAGATGATAATGTCCATGGATTTAAGTTCTGATTCCTACAGTATGGTGGGTGATGCTCTGAAGACACTAGAGCCTTCAAGTGTAGTAGGTATGCTTAGAGCTTTTATGCACATTGGGATTTAAAAGGTTGCACAAGATTTCTCCAGTTCATTACAAAGTTCATCCCTTTTCTGTCCTCTTTGAAATAGTCAGAGAATTGCTAATGTATTGCTTTTCATAAACGTGAGTGTGGAGATGCTCTGAAAAATACAAGGGAAGCTAATTAATGAGCCTGGATACTGCTTCTTTGAAATAGTTCAAGTCATTAAACTTCAAAATAGAAATGGACTGACCTCGGATTCTGGTTCCAACCTCACACCCCTATGGTTTGGGAGAGTTCAGATTTTCACACAAACACTACAAATCAAGCCCAGCTCTTGCTTAAGGTCTTCTAGAGTAAATGTGATACATGTAACAGGTCTACCAAAATAAATGATGATGTTTCAAGTGTGGTCCTAGCCTGAAAAATGGGACTGTGAAAAAGGAAGAGGGGAATTTAATGTTTGTGTTTTACTGATTTCCAGATGAAATATGCTTTAGTTATTAGGAAAATGTGTTTTCTGACTGCTAGCCTTACACACTCAACGAGGGAGCAGAGGGTCAAGCAGGATTTTTTTTCTTCGTGTGCATTCACACCAGTAATAAAAATTAGAGTCCAAGTTGTGACCTGTGTGTATGTATTGTTTTTGATTGGTTCTGCACATGTCAAAATAATTGGCCCTATAAATGGAAGTTAGTAAATAATCCAATTGATATACAAGAAAAAATAGAATTCAACTCAGTCTCCTCTTTGTTGGCTTTGCGGAAGTAGTAGAAGTAAAAGCATAGGCACTGACCCTAGAATAAAGAATCACGGACAGACCTATGCACTTATGAAGTCAGCAGGGTTCCATGCAGGATCAGAGGCTTAGTCATTCAAATGAGTCAATATGACCTTGAAAATATGTGAGGAGCAGATTGTATAAAACTGACATTTTCTTATTCAACTAGTCACTTCTTGGTGCAGAATTTCTCTCCTGACTCTGGCACTATAATACATTTTATAGCTGACAAACATGTTTGCTCTGTCAACGTGATTTTTGTTCGTTAAGTTGTATTCTGCTTTGTCCCGCTTAGTATTGTAAACATTAGATACTATGGGAATAGTGTCATTTGTATGGGCCTGATTTTGTGCCCTCCACAAGTGCAGCATAAAGGATTTACCTTATGGGGCAAACTTCAAATGATGATTTGAGAAATGTAGGCATCTGTGTGCTGCTTTCATAAGCACATGCATATGGTCAAGATAAAATATCATACACACATGTTCCTAGTAGTATTATAGTTGGTTTTGGAGGATTTGTCCTGATGCCCAATATGTTTAACTTTTTATTTAGATGTGTTGTCTGGATTGAGTTAGAACTGGTGTGAAAATTCCAAATTGAGGATAAGAAAAAATTGTCTTTAATCGGTAAATTCATTGACTTATTGATTAAAGACAATTTTCTACTTATCCTCAGTTTGGAATGTTGTCACTAATTCTAACTCAATCCAGACACTAAAGAAGCTTTGAATATTTTCTATTAAAATGAATATTCATACAGTATTGTAAATATATTGGATACAGTATTCATAAAGATGGTTTCAATTCAGTAATTGCTAAACATTAATTTAAGGTAAAATGAAAAGAGCAGAGTGTTGTGTGCACTCAGAAGGAGGCATTTGATATTTAGGAGAAAAATAGTTTGATATAAAATGCACTTTTATGAATAATAAAAATAGTGTGACTTATCTTTGTTAAATTGCCAGTGTATCTTCAATTTTGCTAAATTTCCAAATGCATAAAACAGTGTGACAAAGTGGAGTGAGAGAAATTACTCTCCTTGATATCTGATGATAGGATAAGAAGCAGTGGGCTTAAATTGCAGCAAGAGAGATTTAGGTTGGACATTAGGAAGTTTTTCTTAACTGTCAGGGTGGTTTAAACATTGGAATAAATTGCCTAGGGAGGTTGTGAAGTCTCCATCATTGGCGATATTTAAGAGCAGGTCAGACATCTGTCAGGGATGATTTAGATGGTGCTTCATCCTGCCATGAGAGCAGGGGACTGGACTTGATGACCTCTTAAGGCCTCTTCCAGTTCTAGTGTTCTATGTTCAGTATAAAAATGTGTGCTCCTTGTACAATTTCTGTTCCCGGGTATATATGTCGTATTATGCAGATCAGATTTCCTGGTTGGCGAGGCCCCTCTCCGGTTTTACAAACCAAAGAAAGCCACTGTCCTGTCTGCAACTTAACATTTTTTAAAAGTGTTATCTTGTAACACTAAAGTCCATGTCAGCATGGGCTGTGGTTTACTAATCCTCCATCTTTGCTCTTTCCAGAGTGGAGGACAAAGCCATCAGGCCATAGTTAGTCATCAGCTTCCATTTGTATAGGCAAATGTCATTGTCAATCCTGTCCCATCCCGGATGCATTGATTAGGATGGAGTTGAATACCTTGGCAATAGCATGAGGTATATTTCTCTACTTTGGTTATTCTCACCACTCTTGTTGATCACTCTGGTTATGTCTGGACTGCAGGCTTCTTTCAGAAGAAGCTTTTCCAGAAAAGATCTTCCAAAACGACTTCTTCTGAAAGAGTGCGTCCACACTGCCAAAGCGCGTCAAAAAAGCAATCTGTGTGGATGCTATCTCACATTTAAGATGTGATTACTATGGATGGAGTAGCCACCAGGGCACCTGTGCTTTTTCTTCTTTCCTCTTCTTTCGGAAAAACTCCCTCTTCCCTGTCCCCACACACCTTTTCCCAAAAGAGCTTTTTCAGAAAAAGGCTTCTTCCTCACATAAAGATATTTAACAATGTTGGAAAAACCCCTCTCTTGTTTTGATTTTCTTTTGAAAAAACGCGATTGCAGTGTGAACGTAAGAGCGGAAAAAACTCTGTAATGTAGACATAGCCTCAGATATGAACATAGAGGTAAGAGAAGTGGGGACCAGAGAAAGGGTTGCTGAAATTGTAGTACACTCCTTTATCTTTAAGGGAGGGAGGGAGAAGCCCTGACTCTGGTAATTGAATCTGGTAATTTTTTTGATGGTCATTTGTAAATGAAGCAAAGATAGGATGATCTCATCAAGGGTAGAAGATGGTACATAAGAATATATAAAATGGGATGCACATGTTAATAGGGTGGGGGGGTATCATCTTTTGCAGTTTACCAAGCCTAGAACAAAGCAAGAATTAACAAATGCCTTGACTAAGTCTTGTGGTACTTTATAACATTTCTTCATAGAGTATTTGCTATTTATCTATTAGGCCTTAAAACCAAGTATCAGTCTATTAGATTAGTGATCTACTAGCAGTGAAGGCTTTTTCCCCTTCAGTTCACTATTAGTCTATAATAGTTCTATAATACTATTGATAGTGTTTTTGAGAGGTTTGAAAACCATGAAAATAAATGTATGATGCAAACAAGAGAGAGTGAGTCTTGGAGCAAAGCTCTGTTAGAACTGCTACACACTACAGGTGCAGCACCACCATCTTCCAAAAACCAAGGGAACTACCTGAGGGTAATGGAGACCTACTAAATATGAACTGGTGCAATTCAGCACTAATAAAATTATACTGTTTAACGATGGTGGCACAAAACTGTATGGTATAAAGAATAAATAATACCATCGTGAAAAATAAAGGAGATAGCCAAATAATAAAAAGTAAGCTCAGAAGGACCAAAGGTAACTAAAATTCAAAATATATTTACCATAATTTTTCCAACCCAGTCTTAAACTGGGAACCTATTCATGTATCAAGGAAGATAAGAGTACAAGCAAACTTTGTGGTTGTCGTCTTCTGCTTTGATACTTTCATGCACAGTTGTGTTCTAATTAAATGTAGTCAAGTTCTAAGCAGGTTCCCAGTCTCTCAAATTTTGCATGTCCTGAAGTTATGTGATTAAAAACATGTCAGTGTATTGTAATATTGTCTGTTAGTTTAGGGATTAGTCAAGCAAAGTGCTGACAACTGTGGCTCTGATTCAGCTGCACATTTAACCCCATGTCTAATATGTTTAGGAATAATGTGACTGTGAGCCACAGTTAAAAGTATTTATGCTTAAAACTAAGCACACACTTAAGTGTTTTGCTGGAGTAGAATCAGAATGCTCGGAATCCTGGGGAATCAAGTTTTTCCACAGATATCAATATACCCATATGTGTTATAGTATATTGTACAGTATTGTATCCAGACCCAACAAAATACCATACAAACTAAAAATAATTAGAATAAAAATATTTGAAGGGAAGCCATTAAAACAAAGTGAAACTAGTGTAACAAAATTCAACTTGTTTGCCGTATGACTGAGAGAGAAAGGGAATTCTATTTCAAAGTAATAAATAATCTGATCATATTTTGATATGTTTATCTTTGTGTTTTTTTTCAGGCACTAGATAAATGATGGAATTTGCAGCTGTAATGGTTGATACTCCGGCTCTATCAGGCATTATGTATTGTTAAAATAACTAAAATTCTTTTTTGCACAGTATAGAATGAAAGAAGAAAATCTATTTGCTCCTGTCTTCCAGTAGTTGCTTAGAACTGTGACACAGGATACCACAGAGGGCGCTCCAGTTCATACTTTCTAACAATATAAATGACTGATTAAAAATTTACGTTTTTAATTAATGAGATTATGTGCAAGGCAGTAACAAAATGAAGTGTTGAAGCAGCACAGGCTTATTTAAACTACCTGAAATTGAGGATTTAATTGATAGAGTTGATGCCAATAAACAAACAAAAAGATTACTAAGTCTAGACATTCATGGCATTTAATTGGAAAATGGCCTCAATAAATTTACTGAAGCAAAATAATCGTTGATATTACTTCATGACAGAAAGTGGTGGAAGCAATCTGAATGGCATGCATAAGAAGATAACTGCCCGTAATCAAAGAGAAGGGAATAATATATAATATTTTAATTAGGAGAATAAAAGAAAAAGAAAATTTCCAATTTTTTTTATTGCAAATCACCAAATTTTAAAAAGTTTCTTTTAGGGTCAGACACACCAACACCATATTGATGACCAAATTTGATACCCCTCCAAGTTGTACCGGATATTAATATTCATTTATTTTTCACAATGATACAAGGTGTGCACCTGTGATGTCTTCTAAAAAAAATTCTTTTCATTCTGTATGTTCTGTCATTTCCACTTCGGTTTAATATCTTTTTAGTGCTTTTTTTTTCTCCCTCCCAAAAAATAATTTCCCATTATTTTCCTTCCCAATAAAGCCCTTATTTGTTATGTTACTGATAGGAGAAAAGGAATGGCCCCAGGCCTCAAAAAATGTCTACATTCTGTTGTGTGTAAGGTCTGAGTCTAGTTTAAATAACTTGAAAAAACCTCAGATTTTTGTAGTATTGCTTAAGGTAGGTATGGACCATGATACAGATGACCAGTGCTATTCTGTTTAATTTTTTTTTAATTAAAGCTGAGAGGTTCAGGATCTGGTAATTGCCTGACTCCAAGAGCTGAGCCATTAAGAAAACCCAGTTTTTGAGCTCTGTTGTCAGCATGGCTCCCATTGTAGATGTGCCTGTTATTTGTGAATAACTATATTTTTGGGGGCCGTGCTTCTCCCATGCTAGAGTATAAAGGATGGACTAGCCGTGACCCTTTCTCAGTTTCCTTTTGCTACTCAGAGTAGAAAAATGTAACCTGGCCAAAGCCCAGCATGCTTCTTTTCTTTGAGCTTCAAACTCACCTTTTACACTAGTTGACTACATCATTCTTCACCCTCCTTCTCTTTTTGTTAATTTTCTTTGACAACCCAAAACATAAAAAGATGCTCCCCACCCATGCATGCCACCTATTACAGTGGGGCTAATCCATCTATTTGTATGGATTCTAATCTTTCTGGGTCTAAGCTGTTTGAGGTCCAAATAATTCATTCCCCTGGTCAGTAGGCATTGCCAATGTCTCTTCTTTCCAAGGGAGAACTTGGTTCAAGTAAACATTCTGTAGTGGGAGAATTGGTGATGCAAACTTGAACAAATTTTGAAAGTTGATAATAAAAGAGTGGATAAATACAGTGAATATATTGTACTCCAGCAGAACTGAGGCCTAAATTGTAGTGTATGTTAACACTCCCTTGTAAGTAATATTTACATATAACTTACATACTGTACGTTACATATAACTTACAATGGCTCATGGTGTAAAGAGACCTTAGTCTGAATAAGAATCAAAATGTTAGGATTTTTCAGTTTTGGTTTGGTAACTATTTAATCACTGTAAGTAAAGGACCCAATCCTGGGATGTGTTGCATATAAGCAGAGCTCTATTGAAGTAAATGGCGTTAATAGGGCTTTACTCAGGTGCAGTGGTCTGCCCATGTACAATAGTATAGCCAGGCCTGGGGTAAGAAAGCCTGCTCAGTGTAATGTGTTAAACTAGAAAGTCTGCTCAGTGTAATGTGCTAAACTAGAAACAGGAAACTAGTTCGCATAATTTCACTTTACCTAATTTAAAAAAAAAGTTCCTAATACATGAAGTTAGGAGTATAACTTCTCAGAAATGTCTCCTTGCTATTCCTTAAAAACATCACCTCAATGGCAAAAAAAGGAGAAATAAAAGGTGTAGACTTAGGGAAGAACTTCTTCTTTATGTTTAAAGTTTTATCAGTTCTCACATCAGAATGACAGAAAAAGAGAACTATACTGGAGAAAGGATGATACATGTACAAAATAGCATTAGTGGTAAAGTACTTTCAGGGGAAATTCAGACCACAGAATCTGTTCTGCTCTACTTTTACTACCCTTTGTAGAGGTTTAATTTTGTAAGTGTTGACACATGCAAGCTTTCATGCCACAAATATCTGGTAAAATACAATTACTGTCTATATTTAAAAGAATCTGTTGTGTCTATTTGGCTCTAAACATTTAGTAGCAGTCACAGAAGTGAAAACAGATTTGCAGAATAAACCACAACACAAGGCTACACAATTATTCTCCATCACACTGGCTCTGAGAATGCCGACAAGTGTTTCCACAAATGCTGGGTTTGATCCTGCTAAGCCCCTTCTACTACTATTGACATCAATGGGAATTGCTCACTGTCTCACAGAATCTGACCCACGTTGTCCAGTCTCCTGACTGAAGTCAGCAGGATTACTTTGCATTTACATGAGTCTTATTTTGAGCAGAGTGTTATTAGTCCAATGTAAGGCATCTTGCCCCAGGAGGGACTTGGAAATTGCTACACCTTCCGTTCTCTTCCATCTCTCAGATATGCTCCTATACTAGCTTTTTGCTCCACTTTTAGCCAGAAGGGGTAGGAATGGTGTCCCTATCCATTATTTGTCAGGGGCTGGAAATGGATGACAGGAGGAGGATCACTTGATGATTACCTGTTCTGTTCACTCCCTCTGGGACATCTGGCATTGACCACTGTTGGCAGACAGGATACTGGGCTTGATGGACCTTTGGTCTGACCCAGTATGACTGTTCTTATGTTCTTATTTGAAGCTCCTGATGCTGATCAGCTGATTTATGGCCCCCCTATGGCCTGATTCCATGTCTCTTCTTTCCTATTTAGTGCACCTATCCAGGACAAACTATGATTTGCCCATTGCAACATGTTTCTAGTACTGTTCTTTCACTAAAACTTAAATATCAGTGCAATATCTAAGAAAAGCAACACTGCATGCTCAATTTGCTCCTGGGATTATAATGCATGTTATAACATTTTGCTTATACAAACACCTAGTCTTCTTTACAGCTGTGGCATTTTTCCTTATAAATTTTCAAGGACAATCTTATAGTGAATGGGTCACGCCAGTTTTGAAGATTTATCATCAGATTAATCTGGGCAGTTCATAGGAAGGCAGGAATGATCCATGTTATAGAAATATTGTCCTACATTTTTCAATAATTCCTTTAATTATGAATAACCAGAAAGGGGCCCAATGAAGGGTGGCATGAAGAGAGGAATGTATCACCATCTTAGAGCAAATCACACTGTTAATGTTCACTTCATCAGAGCTTTTGTTTCCTTGCCAAGATGCATTTGGATTTCTGCCTTAATGAATTACGGTAGAGCACATTGTTGGGAATAAAAACAAATCAGGAGGTTCACAGGGACAGTGAAAATTGATGATTTAATAGCCATGATAGCCTATTAAACAGCTCAACAAACTCCTGATTAATTTATTCTTTTACAAAAATACAGAAGATTACTGTAATTATAATTAATAAAATCAATTTCACCATGTAATACAGTAATTGAGGAAAATCTCTTGTAAATGAAATACAGGATGGAACAGATTCTCTCGCTTTTTCTCTAGTCCCAAAGCACAAATGAGCTCATATTATATCTGTTCTGCCACGTTCATAAGCAGTGGCTGCCATGAAAAGTGAAATGTTTTCACAAGGGGTGGATAAATTAGTTGAGTGGAATAAGAACATTTTGAGGACCACAGATATGTAGCTAGCTTGTCTCCAGTATTGTCTATATACCTCTGCACTCAGTAACCCTTAGCACTTACACAATGCTTTAAGAACTTGCAAGCTGAACATTAGCCAGTGAAGCCTCCATAGTATTCATGGGATGAAATTACTATTTTCATCAATTTTACAGAGACTGTCAAACATTTGGGAAGCATCATAGACAATTGCTAAAGGATGCTCGAAAGATGTGAACACTTGTATAGCAGCCGCTGCTGCTATATTTCGATCCCATTAGCAGCCTCCATGAGAAGGATTTGCATCAAGCTTGTTATGAAGGTGGGGATTTATAGATAACCTATTGTACAGCAATAAAATGTAGGTGCTTAGGAAGGTTGAAGAGCAGCAGAATATTTTTTATTTTCATTTATTTTGTTAGCTGTTCCATAATAAATGACAAGACGAGGTCAGAAATGAAGCTATTCAAAGCCAAACCAAGTAACCACCTCCAACTATACTTTTGTGTGTGAAAAGTATCTGCTTTCCACAGAAAAAATGATTTCTTTGTTGAAAAACTGAAATCTTAAAAATTGGCAAGTATAGTTCTAACCTCTCTAGTCCAGCACCCTCAAGATCTGACTGGTCCCAAACCAGAAAATTTGCCAAACCACAGGAGATCAATATTGCCTAGCAGCATTACCTGCACTTCCATTAGTTACTGGGCTCTTAGAAGGCATTTAGGGGTAAATTAGAGCTAAATAACAGCACAGAACACTGAGGCTATGTCTACATTGGCAAGATTTTGCGCAAATACTTTTAACGCAAGAGTTTTTGCATTAAAGTATTTGCGCAAGAGAGCGTCTACGCTGGCATGTGCTTTTGGGCAAAAGCATCCATGCCAGTGTAGACGCTCTGTTGTGCAAGAAAGCTCCAATGGCCATTTTAGCCATCGGGCTTTCTTGCACAAGAAATTCATGTTGCCTGTCTACACTGGCCCGTTCCGCAAGAACACTTGTGCAAGAGGGCTTATTCCTGAGCGGGAGCATCATAGTTCTTGCACAAGAAGCGCTGATTTCTTACATTAGATTAAACAAAGACTGTGAATGGCTCGCTAACTACAAAAGCAGCTTCTGCTCTCTTGGAATTCACACCTCCAGATCAGCTGCTAGAAGTGGGCCTCATCCTCCTTGATTGGATCCACCTCGTCATTTCCAGCCTGATCCTGGCCTGCATATTTATTCCTGCCTCTGGAAATTTCCACTACATGCATCTGACGAAGTGGGTCTTTGCCCACGAAAGCTTATGCTCCTACGCTTCAGTTAGTCTATAAGGTGCCACAGGACTCCTCGTCGCTTTTATATTAGAATGTCAGTGTTCTTGAGCAAGAACTAGCGGCCAGTGTAGACAGGGGGCAAGTTTTTGCGCAGAAGCATCTGCTTTTGCACAAAATCTTGCCAATGTAGACACAGCCTGAGTGCCACTCCCATGATAAGTGGATATCCAGCTAACTAACATCATGCTGAACGAGAGAGTGCCAAACTAAAGAGGTTCAACCTGTATTTGGTTTTTGTCCCAAAATTGAATATCTTGATTCTAAGATGCCATATGTGTCTGTGAACAGCTGTGATCCAGATGGAAGGGATGAGTGGTACTTTGGATATGGCCAGCTGGCTTTTCTGAGCAGCTTGTGGGGGTGGGGCAAGCAGAGAGGGAGTCTGACTACGGTAGTGCTGTGTAGTCACTTTCCATACAGACAGCTAGTCTATTTTGAGTCCTGCTAAGCTTTTGACCCATCATAGCTTGTTGTGATGGGATCCACGTACTCCTTGGCTGCATCTAGCCTGGCATGATTTTTCAGAAATACTTTTAATGGAAAAGTTTTTCCGTTAAAAGCATTTCCACAAAAGCGTGTCCAGATTGGTCCCGGAGTTATCGTTATAATGATGTGCCTTTGCGCAAAAGCGCGTCTACATTGGCGGGACGCTTTTGCGCAAAAGCAGAAGCCCAGAACCATTTTGAAGAGGTAAAAAGGGCACCAGCCCTTTCTGGGGTCGGTGGCTGGAGCTCCTTTGAGACATGTGCTTAAAGGGATCTCCCTGGACAGCCGTTTCTCTCCTGCTGCGTGCTTTGGGACCTATTGCAGGGACTGACAGCCGTAGCAGTTTTGGTGGTTGCCCTCTGCCTTTTTGGTCACCACTGCCTTTTAGTGCCTTTGCCTGGTTTATTTTTTCATCTCCCTTGTTTTTTCTGCCATTGAGCCAGGGGTGGCCATGTGCCTGCTTTGGCCCCTTCCGGCCATTTTGGAGTGCCTGCAGCTGGTGCTCCAGGCTGCTGCCCTCCTGTTCCAGGACCTGGAGGCACAGATCACTTTGGACTTCCTCACCAGGATGCGTCCCTGTGGCATCCCCACCCCATGGTGGAGAGGCCACTGTGGAGACTGGACACCAGTACGGACTGGTGGGACCGGCTGGTCCTGGGGCAATGGGATGACCAGCAGTGGCTCCGGAACTTTCGCATGCGAAAGCGGACGTTGCTGGAGCTGTGTGCCTGGCTCGCCCCTGCGCTCCAGAGAACCACCACCCGGCTGTGGGCACCCATCCCCGTCGACAAGAGGGTCGCCATCGCAGTCTGGAAGCTGGCCACCCCGGACAGCTACCGATCGGTGGCACACCAGTTCGGGGTGGGCAGATCCACCGTCGGCTCCGGAACTTTCGCATGCGAAAGCGGACGTTGCTGGAGCTGTGTGCCTGGCTCGCCCCTGCGCTCCAGAGAACCACCACCCGGCTGTGGGCACCCATCCCCGTCGACAAGAGGGTCGCCATCGCAGTCTGGAAGCTGGCCACCCCGGACAGCTACCGATCGGTGGCACACCAGTTCGGGGTGGGCAGATCCACCGTCGGTGTCATCGTGATGGAGGTAAGTCCCAGGGGGAGTGGGGTGGGGGGAGGATGCTCCCAGGGGCAGC